TTGAATGGACATATTCATCTCCTTTACACATATTGAATGGACTCATCTAACCACTAAAATGAATGAGGTTAAATCTGGTAAACATTATTCTACCTCATTGTTGGCCTTTCAAAAATGAGTTATAGCTAAGAATAATGGTGCTTGCAAAAGCACAGACAAGCAAATACACTGGTCTCCCAGGACAGACATTTTAAATCATTTAAATTTTTGAAATATGGGCCTCATTTTTTCCTTATAAGAACGATAATGATTTCCCTGTTGGAGCTCATAATGTGGTAAAATGTCTAAAGAAAGCTGAATAATGAAAACTGACTTCAACATGGAGCTTCTTTGTTTCGTTATGAAGAAAAAAACACAATGATGAATTATGCTCAATTCACAATTTATCACGACATTCTGGAAAGAAATAGAATAATTATTTCCATTAATTCTAAATAACTTCTGAAGACAGATTTATGTCAATTCAGCTTAGTTTTATACTTTATTACAAAACCCATACAAAAGGAAAGATTAAATTAATGCAAGACATATATTCATACTTTGAACTTCATGAGTAATTAAAAAATGAAAAATAAGATTCTGAATAAGACTTTTGATACTTTTGTCCACCAATATATTCCCATTAAACACTGCAATTTCAAATTTGACACGCAAATAATTTTAATGTCAATTCAATTTGCCATTTACAATGCTGTATAGGAGCACAGCTTTTTAACAAAGCTCATTCTACCAGAGAGAATCAGCACAGGTAGTGGAATATTTTTTTACATATGTCAATCAAATGACCTACAAAATAAAATCATTTAAACATGTGAGTCAGAAAAATATAAACTCAATAAACATTCCTATTCCCTGAAGATCTTGTTGTTTTTCACCCCATGTAATACTAGCAATACTGAGTGTATTATCTTTAGTTCTTTGTTGCTATGAGCATGGAAATAATATTTTACTCTTGTTTCCAAATTCGTGGAAATCATCTTAAGCTTTCCCTTACTATGTTTCTCTCACACAAAAGGAGGAATTAATAATTTGACAGCAATATTAGTAGTCTTAGGTCTTTAGAAATGTGGAGATCCAACTGTCAAATAGGTTACAGTTTGAAAAGCATTTTGATAACAAAAAATAAGTATAACTCAATACAATGTATTGATATGTTTGGTTAAAATTGAGTTAAGAAATACACTTAATGTAAATGTTCATCTTAATGTTACAAAATGTCATCCATCAGTAGTCTTTCTGTATTTTCCCATCATCATGTTATAAAAACAACTAAAAAAATCTATTTTATTATTTAAATTAAAAAACAATCTTATTTTATATACCAATACCAGTTTCTTCTCCCTCCCATCCTCCCATTTCCCCTACAATTTCCCCATCCCACCTCCCTATCCACTCCTCAGAGAGGTGAGGCCTTCCATGGGGGTTCATCAAAGTATATCACACCATTTCAGCAGGACCCAGGCCCTTGCCCCTATATCTAGGCTGAGAGAGTATCTCTCCATAGGGAATGGACTCCAAATGCCCCTTCATACACTAGGGATAAATACTGGATCCAACCCTAAGTTCCTAAGATGAACTGTGTTATTAACAAATCACCCCTTACTTTATAGACCTAAACTGCTTTATTAACATCCCTCATATTCATTTGCTTCTATATATTTCTATTTTTCATAGGTACAGTATTGATTTGCCAGTGTTACTGTCATTTAAAAAATGATCATGTGCAAAAAGGCTTAAGCTGCTAGGAATCGGTGTTCTGGCAGAACTAAGCTAGGGTTGTGAACCAGACAGTACTAAAGGCCACTTCTCTCTGTGTCTTGATTTTCTTATACCATGGATTTCTTTGTTTCCAAAGAGAACTTTCCCACTTTGGAGATACCAGTTGGCACATGAAATGACTTAGATATTTGTGACTTAATTTTGACAACCTTTTTTTTTGAAAAAAAAATAGCACTTTCTTTCCTGAATACAACATACAGAGAATTTAGAAGGTCAGAAAGACAGAAAAGGACTGACTGTGTAGTTCAGCGGTTTAGATTTTTTTCCTGGCAGACATTAAACTTTGGGGTTTATCTCCATCATCACAAAATATAATAATATTGTATTCTATCTCTAACTAAATCTTACTGATCAAGTAAGAAAATCAAGCCACTCTTTTTATTATGTTTTCCCCCCTTTAATGAAAATAGATTCTTTTCTCATAAAATAAATTCTAATTACAGTTTCCTCTCTACTTCCTCTTCCTAGTACCTTTCCACTTCTCCTCCCGTGCACATCCACTCCCTTTGTGTCTCTCATTAGAAAGGAACAGGCTTTTAAGAGATAACAACATAATGTAACAAAATAAAATATAGTAAGATAAATCAAAATCATCTCATTGAAGTTGGACAATGGTAAACCAACAAAAGAAAACAAGCCCCAGGAGAAGGCACAAGAGTAATGGCTCTTAAAATTAATTTGTTTAGGAGGTTTTTTGATTAGTAGTTAAATTTTAGTTAATATGACACTAGAAAGAACAAAGACTTCTCTTAGTGAGTGCTTATATTTGGGGGAAAATGAAGAGATGATTAAAAACATTTGGGATGAATATGTGAGTGTATCAAGAAACTAAGAACATTTAAGAAAGTATTTCTAAGTTATTAAGAGTACTTTAAAGTAAGTTGTGTTTATTCTTCCTTCATGAAGCTCTATTTTCTATCATTTCCATAAAATAAAGTAATAGTTCTTAAGGCTTCTTAAAGTGATTTTTGATAGTAGCTTATACATTATATTGTAAAGACAGCAGTTTGGATAATGTCATAGACAATATTAAATGTCATTCTTTGTTAAAATTACAGCATCGGAAATGTAGTATGAATAATATTGATGTTTTGCATTCTAAGAAAGCAAACTGAATCTCAGTTGACTACTCAATATTTATCACAAATACAACCAGCAATAAAGTATTCTCTGTAGAAAAATACAAATATTAGTTATTAATGTTCAATGAATCTTATTTATTTAAAATTCGATTCTTCATATAACTTGGTTCCACAAAATCTTTATTATTTAGCCTCAGAGTTATTTTATTATAATCCAAAGATAGGTAATTCTAAACTAGGAATAATCCATTAAAATCATATACTTGAGTGTACATTATACATACAATTACAGAAAGGAAAGTTAACTGTATAAACTCCATAGCTAAATATCCCAGGTTACTGTAAGTTCAATTGTTTCTCTTTTAAAAAAATTAATAATGAGAAAAGAAATAAAGGTGGGAATGGAGAAAGAAATATATATGTTGAATAATTACATAATGAAAATATGTATAGGTCTTTATTTTTCAGACACTTTTGTGTGTTCTATATCTTTTAATTAAACAGTAAGAATCTTATTCATTAAAAAGACAAATATGTCTAGGCTCAGGGAGTATCCCTCTATGTGGGATGGACTCCAAAAGTCCATTCCTATACCGGTGATAAGTACTGATCCACTAAAAAAGGCCCCATAGATTTCCAAGGTCTCCTCACTGACACCCACATTCAGGGGGTCTGGATCAGTCCCATGCTGGTTTCCCAGCTATCAGTCTGGGGACCAAGAGTTCTTCCTTGTTCAGGTCAGCTGTTTCTGTGGGTTTCACCAGCCTGGTATGGACCCCTTTGCTCATTGGTCCTCAATCTCTGCATCTAGATTTCAGTTCAGTTCAAGGTTTAGCTGTGATGTCTGCTTCTACTTCCACCAGCTGCTGCATGAAGGCTATACAATGGCATATGAATTAGTCATCAATCTCATTATCAGAAGAGGGCATTTAAGGTAGCCTCTCCTCTGTTGCTTAGATTGTTAGTTGGTGTCATCTTTGTAGCTCTCCAGACATTTCCCTAGTGCCTGATTTCTCTGAAACTTACAATGTCTCCCTCTATTATATTATCTCTTATCTTGCTCTCTTCTGTACTTTCCCAACTCAAACTCCCTTGCCCATCATGTCTTCCTCATCCCTCCTCTGCTTCCCTTCTCGTTCTCCTAGTTCCCTCTGCCCTCCCGCCATAGTCCAAATTTGTTCAGGAGATCTTGTTCCTTTCTCCTTCTCCATGAGACCATGTATGTCTCTCTTAGAGCCCTCCTTGTTTACCAGCCTCTCCGTCAGCCTGGGCTGCAGGCTGGCAATCATTTACTCTATGTCTAAAATACACATATGAGTGAGTACATACCATGCCTGTCTTTTTGTGACTGGGTTACCTCGCTCAGAATGGTTTCTTCGAGTTCCATCCATTTGCCTGCAAACTTCAAGATTACATTGCTTTTTTCCCACTGAGTAGTACTGCATTGTGTAAAGGTACCACATTTTCTCTATCCATTCTTCAGTTGAGGGGCATCTAGGTTGTTTCCAGGTTCTGGCTATTACAAATAATGCTGCTATGAACATAGTTCAACAGCTGTCCTTGTTGTAGGAATGAGCTTCTGAGTATATGCCTAAGAGTGGAACTGCTGGATCTTGTGGGAGACTGATTCCCATTTTCCTGAGGAATCACCATACATATTTCCAAAGTGGCTGTACGAGTATGGACTCCCACCAGCAGTGCGGGGGAGTTCCCCTTTCTCCACAACCTCTCCAGCATAAACTGTCATTGGTGTTTTTTTTTATTTTAGCCATTCTGTGTTTTTTATTTTAGCCATTCTGGCAGGTATAAGATGGTATCTCAGAGTTGTTTTGAGCCTAGGCCCTATCCCAAGGAATATGACAGATATAGAAGACCCCTATGGAAGGCCTCACCCTCCCTGGGGAGAAGAAAGTGTATGGGATAGGTAGGGTGTTAGTTGGCAGGGCAGGGGAAGAGGGAATGGAGAGGGACCTGGAATTGACATGTAAAATAATTTTCTTTATAATAAAAATAAAATTAAAAAGAGTTAGGTAATGAAAAATAAAGAAGACAAATATGATCAAATAAAATAAGCAAAAGAATTGTAATTTGATCAAGTCACAAAAGGAAAATTATTGAACATATAAAGATGAATAGATTCATAAAGCTAAAAACAGTAGTTTCAAATTTTTGTCTATGTTATATATGAACATATAAAATAAATAAATAAATGGTTATATCCACTGCTGATCTTGAGGGAATTTTAATTCATGCCATGATTTGTGACAGCAAATATAACAATGGACAGCATCTATGCATCCCAGGAAAGAATCAACAATAGTTCTGATTATAAATACCACCAAAGTCCAACTTATTGATTCCAAAAGTTTTATTGGGGTTACTTGCAGGAATATGGAGTACAGGATACCTACAGCAGCAGAAATGATGCAAAAACAAAGTCTACCTCAGCAAGTGTGAGGGCCCACCTGGAAACAGGAAGCGTACTGCACAACCTACAGACAGTTAAACTGGTTGGACAGTGTCCTGTACAGACAGCCCAGGTTGTCTGAGTCTGTTCTAGAAAGATGGGTCTCTGGTTCTTCTGAGAAGGCTGGCTTCTCGCAGGTATTTGAAAGTCACTTAAAAGTATTTACAGTTCATATATGCTGGAGAGGATGGAGCTTAGAGCATCTGGCTGTGGATTTTCAGGACTTCCTAAAACTTTACTTGGGTTTGTTTCCTAAGCTAAGTAAGCTTCCCCAATGGTTGAAATGCTTTACTTCCCTATAGAACATCACCTTCTTTACATTTTTCTTTTATGTTTGATATTATAATAAAATTACAGCTTTCTCCCTTCCTATTATGCTCTTCAAACCTGATATATACCCTTCCTTGCTTTTGTTCAAATGCATGGTCTCTTTTTTCACTAATTGTTTTGTACATTCCTCAATATGACTCCATTTCTATTATGCTCCTCATAAATATGCATTAAGGGCTGTGATGGGTGTGCTCTCTCCTGAGAAGATTATTTCTCTCACTCTTGGCTTTTCTTAGTATCCTGTAGTTGCTTATGTAGATTTGAAGCCTCATGGGATCTCCCCCAACCACTTTGGCGTGTATATTTTTTGTCCTTGTTCACCTCGTATTTAGGGAGTAATATTGGTGAGACTCTATGGGTGTAGCTTCTGAAACAGTCTCACCGCAAACTCGTTGGTGCTCTGATTCTTGCAGCTGTTTCAAGAACTGATTCTGCATTGTTTCTTGAACCTTAGGTGCTGGGTTGTTTTATAGATGTACCCATCAGAAGTTTGTTTTTGATTGGCTGTCTGTAACGTTCTCCATTTGTTGCAAAAAGAAGTTTCTTTAAGGGGGAGTGAGGCCTAAACTTATCTGTGGGAACAAGAACAAACACTTGGATTATCATTAAGGATTTTGCTGGTTTAGTAAAATGCTGGTTGTAGATACCTATAGCTATAGACTACCTTTGTATAATTGCTTTTAATATGTCCTAGTAGTCTTGTTGTATTATATTTTCCTTTTCATTTAGTTCCAAGAATTTTTTTTATTTTTTCTTGATTCATTCTTTGACATATTCATTTAAGACAATAGTAGAAATTTGTTTTCTTTTGATTTTAAGTTTATCACAGTGTGATCATATTGGATATATTGTTATTTCAATTTTATGAATTTTTGAATATTTGTTTTGTGTCTGTGTTTTAGAGATGATTCTTTCAGCTGCTGAATTGAATTTGCAATCTTTAGCATGTGGATGGAATGTTCTGTAGATACCAGTTAGGTCCATTTGTTGTATGATGTTACTCTGATGTTTCTGTTTACTTATTGTAATGTCTATTGGAGATGTCCTGTCTATTGGAGAAAGTGGGCTACTGAAATCACCTAGTGTTGCTGAGGTGGAGTTAATTTATGGTGTTTAAGTGCAGTAGTACTCATTATACAGAGTGTAATGGTTTGCTAAAGTATTTTATTAAATAAATATCAATCATTCATTCTTCTCTCCAACAAGTATTCTGTGGTATCTGAGTGTATAATACTATGCAGTGATAAAATAACGTAACTGTTTATGTTTTAATGATCACTGTAGATAATAATAACAAAGCCAAGATCAACATACAATGTACTTCTTAACATTGATTTTTAGGCTTAATTTATAGCAAAAAAAAAATGTCAGTTTGGGCCAAGATACAGCTCAGTAGTAGAAATTCTTACTTAGTATATATGGCCATACCCTAGCTCCATTCTCCATCACCAAATTAATTAAGTAATCAGTTAAAAAGAAAGATTAAAAATCAATTTAAAATAAATAATTTCTTTATAATCATATCTTAAAGTATAGAGTTGTTCTTGTCATTAAATTTTCAGAGTGCATATTACACAGTACCATTTAATGATGGTAGGGCTGGTCTGACTGAATACATCACAACTCACTTAATGTTACATCTAACAACACTTCCCATGGTGAATTTCTCAGTTTCTCTGAGGAATCACCACACTGAATTCTATAGTGGCAGTACAGGTTTGCACTCCCACTAGAAATGGATGAGTGTTCCTCCTACTCCACATCTCTGCCAGTATGAGCTGTAACTTGTTTCATTGATCTTGGCCATTTTGAGTGGTGTAAGATGAAATCTCAAAGTAGTTTGAATTTGAATTTTTTTGATGACTGAGGATGTTGAACATTTCTTTGTTTCTCATTGTTTGAGTTTTACACTTCAAGGAATACATATTATCTTAATTAAGTATGCAAAATATAAAAATTATGGGTTGCAGAAAACTGAGTAGCATTATTCCACACCTGCTTTGTGACCCATAGGCCGTGTGTGTGTGTGTGTGTGTGTGTGTGTGTGTGTGTGTTGATATTTGTAGGAGATATAAACAAAATTTATATGTATATTTGGGTACATATTATATGATGCATATTTATATATTCGTGCTTATGTATATTTAAGGAACACCCTGATAATTTGATAACTGATGAGACAGGGGCAATATTTCCTAGTGGTTTAAAGACTATCTGAATATGGGTGACAGTTGGGGGGCTTGGACAGTTTATGGGGCTGGCTGCTGGCAGTTGAACAAGAATTTATCTGTAGTGCATGAATGGGAGTTTTGGAGCCCATTCCCTATGGAGAGATGCATTGCTCAGCCTAGCTACAGAAGGGGGGCTTGGTCTTGACCCCAATTTATGAAAGACTTTGATGATTTCCCATGTGTGATGTCACCCTAAGGAATGGAAGGGGTGGGATGGGGAGATGATGGGGGTGTGGGAGGAAAGGGGGAAGAGGGAACTGGGATTGGTATATAAATAAGATTGTTAAAAAAATTAAAGATGGCTATATGACAGGAAGCTATCTTCCATAATTTCTCAAGTAAGGTAGCTTAAGGGCCTATAGGGAAAAAAAGGAAAGAGAGACAGTGATGTAATTTTGTGTCAATCAAAACATATTTTAGAACAGACTAATCTAATTGAAAAACATGTTTTGCATACAGTCTCCAAATAAACTCAATGATCTAGTATATAATATAGTATTGTTAAAATAAACTAGAACTGCACAAGAAAACAACAGTTGGCATCCAAATATGGATGGGAAAAATTGCACAAGACTGAACTCCTTGATGAAGAGATATAGGTAATCTATGTCTACTAAGAAAAGAGTCAGTATTTTCTAGTAAAAGTAAAAGACTCATCATAGTTTATCCAGTCCAAAGTGTTCAACTCTAACAATAACAGTTAAAAAGAAAAAGAGGCCATGCAATTGACACAGAGTTGAGAGGTGACATGGACAGATTTAGAATGGGGAAAGAGTTTGGTGGAGATGATGTAAATATAGTATCCATGTGTGAAATTCTTAAAACATAAAATAATATGTAGTTGAAAAGAGGATGAAGGCAGGAGTACTTAGGAGGAGCTGCTGAGGAGTGATAAATATGTACAAAATACACTGTGCACATTTTTGCAAATCCCCAAAGAATTAAGAAAATATTAGTATTTAAAAGTAATACATTTGTAGAAAGATGGTTCATATTATCATCATATATGGGAGGAAAATAGATGGATCATCCCCTAATATAAGAAAAGCATATATGTTATATCAATGGAATCTAAACTTTTAAAAGTAAATATCATTAACTATGACAGAGTGATGTCCATGAACCAGTATTGTCTTTAACTAGAAAATGGAATAATCTTATTAAGAATTGATAAACAAGATTAGTACTTCAGACATCTCTAAGTTCAGTGTTTTATTGCTGCATCTTTGATATTTGTTATACCACATACCATGTAGTAGTCATAGGAATCATCTATAGTGTTTCACTAAGAATTTTATAACTTTGGGTTAGATCTTAATTATAGTTTCTGTTGCTGTCATGTAACATTGTAACAAAACAGCAAGGTGGAGAGAATTTGTAAAGTGTATTTGGTTTACACTTCCAAATCATTGTTCATCATTGAAATAATCAGAACAGGAAATCAAATGGGATATGAACCTTGAAGCAGGAGCTGATGCAGAGTATTGCTGACTTGCTTGTTTTCCATGGCTTTCTCAATACGTATTATTTTAGAACCCCAGACCACCAGCCCTGGGATGACTCTATCTTCAATGTGCTGTGCTGCCTCTGTACCCCTGCCAACAACCTAATAAAGAAAATGCTCTACAAGCTTGCCTATAGCCTAGTCTTATGGAGGCATTTTCTTAATTGAGGTTACCTCTTCTCAGGTGAATTTTGCTTGTGTCAATTTGGCACAACTATCCAGCACATGCTTACTGTGTAGAAGCTTGCTGATAAAGGTTAGCTTTTTATTTAAATGTTTGGTATAATAAGTAATCCTGTATTTATGCATAGGGGGATGACAATTACTTGAAATTTCTAAGTTTATAATTAATGTAGTCTTAAGACAAATACCATAAAATACTTTAGAGTTCTAGAAAGTACATCTGAGCTTCTATAAGCTATAATGTGAGGAATCAATAGTTCATCATAACTGCATGAGCTAACATCAATGATCTAGAAATGGCTTAATCTGTAACTACTAAATTTATTTGCTGAGTATAGATATCTTTATTGACAAAACTTTAAGAGGCATTTTGGTTAAAAAGAACACATAAATAAATAGTAGAAAATGCTACTGAAGTTCTATCAGTTAACATGTATTTATAAGTAAATAAAACATAGATATTGGATATACCGAACAATATTCTTGCTACTAAAAGTAGCTGTTGTATAAACCTACATTAGAAAATATTAAGGACTCAGTTTATGATTCAGGGTAAAAATTAAGAAGATGGAATACAGTGTAACCTTTTGTAACAGACACAAATACTTAGGATATTTTAAACCTCACCTAAGGCATCATGAAGAACATGTTGCATGGGCAAACTCAAATAACCAAAGATCCAATATGTAATACACTATGGATCACCTAAACAAGAACTGCACAATGACAACAGCAATATGGATGGGGGTGGTATGTCTCATAAGGCCACAAATCTTGATTAAAGAGCTATAGGTAATTGGTAAATTTCAAGAGAAAAAGAATCTCTCTCCTTCATAGTTATTTTCTCTGATATGGTAAAAGACATTAAAGTACAACAGTATATTTTAAGAAGCATTTTGAAAGTAGGTCTAAGAGCATTAAGGTGAGTAGTCACTAAGAAATTACAGCATTTCAAACTTAATGTAATTGTATTTGTTAATAGTAACTGATCTAACATAATTATACTTACCCATATCTACATAGCTTTAAAGCACTAGTGATTCATTATCTCCTTTGTACCAATAGATCAAGCGACTCTTCTTTCAACCAATGATTCTGTGGTATTTCTATGTAGGGGTATTTAAGGTAATGGTCAGAATGAGAGAAGATGGTGACTTAGGAAAAGTAAACAATGCTTTGAAATATTAAACACTAAGGAAGAATCGTCTTAGTTTTATTCCCTTTTTCTGTGATAAAATACTCTGATAATATAAACTTAAGAGAGAGTAGATTTATATGTCTCACAATCTGGGTTACAGTCCATCATTGTGAAGTCAAGAGGAGGATGTCTAGAGGAGGAAAACTTGAAGCGATGCATCACACAATATCTATAATCAAGAGCAGAAAGCAAAGCAATGGATCAAAGTCCTTAGCCATCAGGGAAATGTGAATTAAACCTATTCTGAAATTTCATCTCACTCATGTCAGATTGTCTAAGATGGAAAAGAAAGTAAAGGAAAAGAAAACATAAGAAGAAAGAAACATTGGCATGGGAGTAAAGAAGAAATACACTATCCAGTGCTGTTCAGCATCCAAACTGAAGCAGGCACACTAAAATCAGAGTGCAAGTTACTCACAAAGCTAAAAGTAACCCTAGCATGTATTTCAGCTATACTACTTTTAGGTACATACCTAAAGAACTCTGTGCTCTATGCCAGAGATATCTGCTCATCCTCTTTCTTTGCTTCTCAATTCAAAAAAGCCAGTATATGGAAACAGCTTACATGCCCATCTGTTGATGAATTAATAATGAAAATGTGATATATTTACACAAAGGAATATTACTCAGCTATTAAGAAAAAAATATCAAAAACTAAATTGGTGGAGCTAAAAACAATCATACTTTCTGAGCTAATCTTACCCAGAAAGACAGAGGTCACATGTTTTTTGTCATTTTGAGGACATTATGTCATATTCTTCAAATATGTGTGTTTAATTTGGTACACACATACAAGTCAGGAAAAGTTTAAGGAGTCACAAGTAGAGACTCAGATAGTGAAAAGATAAGAACAGACTGATATAAAGGTTACATTGAAATACTCTAGCTAAAAGGGCCAATTTGAAACAGAGAACCAAAGGTCAAGGTAGAAAAAGGAATATTGAGAGAGATAAATAAGGAGAGGGGAGGGGGGACTGGGATGAGTGGAGGGAGAGGATACTATGGTCAGGGTGTTTTGTAGGAGAAAAGAATAAATTAAGGAAAGATGAAAAAAGGTAATACTGAGGGGAGAACTGGAATGGAGTTACCCTAAAGGAACAAATATACTACCATAAATTTTAAAAGAATGCATTATATGATGCAACCAATATATTTAAGATTGTAGACAAAAGGAATGAGCTTATGTACAATATATAAGACCAACTTTTAGAATACCTGAATAGAATGATAACAAGGAAATGAATATAAATCAAATCATCACTTGAAAAATTTCCAAACTATTGAGAACAAAAGTGTTTTTATATAAATGTATTTCAAGCAAAGTGATAGAAAGGTTTCTTTATAATTTGTTATATAAAGCTTGTAGAGCTATGATATTAAATTATATAGGAAAGCTTGAATGACTTGGGTGATGGTTAAGGACTCATCCCAGAGTGATTATAATATTTTCAGATATGAACCCCTACTAGCACATACCATGTCAGATGCAGGCAAGCAAAAGAAACAGTGTTACCTCTAAAAATGTCATAAAGTTGTTGCTTGAAAAGAAAGATAAGCAACACATATTGAGATTAAAACTCAACATGAAGCAATTATTTAAAGAAAGCTTCTTAAGATAATAAATATCTGAAAACAAAATGAAGCATATTCCTTAGCAATAGAATAGGAAAATAGAAAATTTTTCTCTATTGTTTGGAATAAGAAAATGGTCTCCAATGTCATTCCCACCATTTGAAGAATTACACCCAAATAGAGTAAATTATTAGAAATATTAGAAATACCTGGAAGTTATAGGCATTGAAAAACATTATCACAGCATAGTTAAAACTCACACCTAAAATGGAAATACTATTATAACAATTAACAAAATAAAAAAGTCTAACATGATAGAGTATGTATTTAAAATGCCCATTAATATACACAAATATTTTTAGTTACAAACTAAATAAAAGCACATATATATATATATATGACACATGTGAACCACTACCATATTTTTATGAAATTCAAAGGACCTGTCAGAAAAGAAAAATCCAACCTGTGCTCTTCATTCTCCCTCGCCTCCCTGACCTCTCCTGAGCCCTACTCCTGCCTAAGGTCCCCATAAACCCAGGATCTCTCTAGGCCTAGGACTGGAGCGAGCAAACCAACCTGCATAGAGTGGACCCACCCAGACAGGAAGGACCTCTGGGAGTCTGGAATTACCTTCCTCTTCCTTCCCCGTCTGCTGCCCCAATCTCTCCTGAGTGACGAGACTACCAGGAGAGGCAAAACCATTCATATCGGCATACATGAAGTATTGGCCCCCACACACCACCGGGTGGCAAGAGGAGATAGAGAGACCCCACCAACACCTACCAGAAGAAGAGATGGGAAGAAGGAAGAATAACAGCACACTCAACAGAAAGATCAATATGTCACCACCAGAATCTAGGGACTCCACACCAGCAAGATCTGGAAAGCACAACACAGAGGAAGAAGAAGAGGCAGCCCTAAAAATCTACTTCATGAAGATGTTCGAGACCCTTAAATAGGAAACAAGAAAATCTCTTAAAGAAATATAAGAAAAAAACAAAGAAATTCAAGAAATAGTAATTCTCTTAAAGAGTCTAAAGAAAAAAAAAAACCAACCAAACAAGAGGGCTGATTTCCAAAATATACAATTAACTCAAGAAGCTAGCCACCAAAACACCAAACAATGAAATTAAAAACTATGGTGCAGAACTAAATAAAAATTCTCAAAAGAGAAATCTGAAATGGCTAAAAGACACTTAAGAAAGTGCTCAAAATCCTTGACCATCAGAGAAATGCAACTCAAAACAACTCTGAGATACCATCTTACACTGGCAGAATGGCTAAAAAAAAAAACATCAATGACAATCTATGCTGGAGAGGATGTGGAGAAAAAGGAACACTCCTCCATTGCTGGTGGGAGTGCAAACTTGTAAGACCACTTTGGAAATCAGTAGGGCAGTTGCTCAGAAAAATGGGAATCAGTCTACCTCAAGATCCAGCAATTCCACTCTTGGACATATACTCAAATAATGCACGCTCATACAACAAGGACATATGTTCAACCATGTTCATAGCAGCATTGTTTGTAACAGCCAGAACCTGGAAGCAACCTAGATGCCCCTCAACTGAAGGATGGATAGAGAACATGTGGCACATTTATACAATGGTGTACTACTCAGCAGAAAAAAACAATGGAATCTTGAAATTCGCAGGCAAGGGGATGGAACTAGAAGAACCCATCCTGAGTGAGGTAACCCAGTCACTAAAAGACAAACATGTTATGTACTCACTCATATATGAATTTTAGATGTAGATCAAAGGATTACCAGCCTACAATCCTCTTCACCAAAGAAACTAGGAAACAAGAACTCTAAGGGAAAAATGCATGGACCCTAGAGAATGGGAAGGGGCAGGATCTCCTGAGCTAACTGGGAGCATGAGGGTAGAGGAGAGGGAGCTTCCAGAATGAGATGAGGAGAAGAGGAGGGGAGAGGAGGAAATGGAGGAGCAGAAATTTTGGGTGGGAGAAGAATAGAGTAGGACAAGATGAGTGATACCATGTCAGAGGAAGCCATTATAGGTCTGAGGAGAGATCTGGCCCTAGGGAGATTTCTAGGGATCTACAAGGATGACACAAACTGACAATCTAGGCAGTGGTGGAGAGCATAACATAATGCCCTTCCCCTATAATGAGACTGATGACTACTTTTTATGGCATCCTGGAGCCCTCATCCAGTGGCTGATGGAAACAGGTAGACATTCACAGATGTACACTGAAATGAACTCTGGAACCTAGTTGCAGAGAGGGAAGAATGAAGATCAAAGGGGTCAGTACCAGACTGGTGAAACCCACAGAACTGGCCTGAACAAGGGGGAGCACATGAACCCCAGATGGCTGTCCCAGGCCAGCATGGGACTGATCCAGGCCCCTGAACATGAATGTTAATGAGGCCTCTGAACTCTAGGAGGCCCCTGGTAGTGGATTAGTATTTTCCCTGGTATAAGAAGGGACTTTGAGAACCCATCCCACATGAAGGGATGCTCTCGAGGCTTGGACACCTGGGGGAGGGCCTAGGCCCAGCCCAGGATGATGTGGTGGACTTTGGGGAGCCCCTGTTGTGGGCCCTACCCTGCATGTGGATTAGAGGGTGGATGGTGTAGGGGGCAGGTGGGGGATTGGAGAGAGGGTTTGGGGGATTTGGGAGCAGGGGAGGGAGAGGGAGAAGGGATTAACAAATAAAGCAAGCATGTTCCTAATTTGAACTAATAAAAAATAATTAAAAATAAATCCAACCAACTTCAGCCATATAGTTTTTTTCAAACAAAAAAATATGTGTTTTGGAAAGCATCTTCAATATATGTTGTGAAAACCAAATGTCTGTATACAGAAGAAGGAAACTGCATATCTTTCATCTTGTATAAAAGACAACACAAAACAAATCAAAGTCCTCAACATAAAACCCTAAACTCTGATATTGTTAGGGGAAAAGCTAGAGGTTGCTCTACAAGATTTAACCATAAGTATGGACTTTAAATTTCTAAGGTTTATTTTGTGTATGGGGGCTGAAGTGATTGAAGATTCATACATGCCAAGGCATGCCAGCAAAGGTGGTATGGTAGGTTTTCTTGAGTTAGCCTGCTCATGATAACTTATGTGATTCAAGTTTAGGATTCGGTCTGTCAGACTTGAAAGCATTTATTTTTTTTAATGAGTATTCTTTCCAGCCCAAGATAAAAACTTTTAAAATAAAACTCCAGTTGTTCAGGAAATGTGATGAACAATTGAAAAACTGGGACTTATGAACTACAAAAGCTTCTGTGAATCAAAGTTTTAATTAATTTTTAAAAGAGCTTGAACAGTGGTGCACTGCCTGAGTGAAAAAGGTTGCTTTCAGACACCACAGATCTTACAAAAAATTCAGGCGCCTAATATACTATCTGTCTGTAATACACTATCTGGGTAGCTAGCCCAGGAGCCCTCAGAGGCTCCCAAAGTAATGAATTTAATTGTTATTGCTCTTAGTCACTTAGCAGAACCACATAGCAAGTTTCTATGATTCAGACACCTCATATATTACAATGTGGCACACAGAGAAATCTAGCTAGAAATGTGCTACTTAGCCTTTACCCCAGTGGCTAGTGTTCACAATGTCAGAAGGTGCTTTGCAGGTTTCTGAAGTAGAAAAGGCATCAAGTACGGTTGTATGTCCTGAATACTGAAAAACAAATTTCAAGATATTGTTTTCCTACTGGCATAACAATGGCACAATGATTATGGTAGAAACCAATTGCTCTCTGTGTAGGGAGCCGTCCCTGCATTCTCCATTACAAAATGGTGCCTGCCGGATTAATAAACAAGATTATTGCACAGGCGCTGGGTAATTTTCCATTCCTTGATCTCTGCCTATTCCGTGGCGTCATATGGCCCGATGAGCTACAGCCAATCATGGGGTGACACGTCCGAGGCGGCAGTTGCCAGCCTTTATTAGGGGACGGGATTCTTGGCTCGGGGTCTCCGCTCTGGTAAGCTTATGCTCTCCTCTCAAGACGCATTAAAG